GGTCCCAACAGGTCTCGACCCAAGACACTAACAGTCTACGACTTGACATTAACCCTAAACCCAAAACTTGGCCCTGGAGAGAAGCTTTGTTTGAGGTAGCCCGGTGTTTTGAGATCCCGAACTTCACTTGTAGTGATGAATCATCTTGATGACAATGACAGGGTTTGACGAACTGAGCCCATGTATCGGGTTAGGGGGACTGAGCCCAGATGTCGGGTTACATCTTGTGCAGGACCGGATCACTGTGTCAAATAAATTCACTTGAGTGCTGTGCTGTACCTTGATTCCAAGAAATTCTGGATTTAATATCAAGAAGTCGATGTCTGCCATCCCCCATGTCACATGGAGGATTCCACGTGGGCCATGTGTGATACTCATATAAGGATAGGGTAATACCCCGGAGAAAAGATCTGGTGATCAGGAACAGAGCAAAGTTCAGTTCAGTTTCTTTTTCATAACAAAAAGAAATCGTAGGTGTGAGTAAAGCCTGACAGACTCCTGTTGGCATACTGCAAATGCATGAGCAAATCATCGGGATGTTTTAGTTTGGTGAAATCTAAAAGAGTAGGAATTCTTGGGTAAGGTAGACTTCGGACCATGGGATAAGATTGTTACTTCGTTAGTCTTCAAGCACTCTTGTGGATCTAAACTTACAAACAAGTCTCACATATGCTCATCTTCTTTTCTCTGACGGAGAAATTCAACATCTAATTCTGAATATTGTAATGCCTCTTCGGATGCTCCGAACGTGTGAAGACCGTTTGCCACCATTGGATAGCTATTAGGGCCTTGCCTCACGGTGTCATAGGGTCAACTATCAAGGCGGCGGTTTCTGAAAGTTTCGATTGACTTTGTCTTGGCCCGATCTTGAGCTCACTAACGACGGAAAATAATTTGATTTCATGTATGGAGAGGAGATTACATATTCCGGCCAAGATGTCCCTCTAAACACTACATTCAATTATTCAGTATCGACGAATCCCATCCTAAATTGATTACAATATCATCCCACATTAGTTGCGGTTTATCTACAAATAAGTTCAAGGTTCCGGTAGTCAATACCTTCAGTCCTAGACTCTATCCCTCAAACTACCTAGGCTTTGCTACATACCTTGCTTTTGGAAACGTGTATTATGTTGGATCTTGACAACAACTTATTAACGTTTTTTGAATTCTTCATACTACGTATTGGTATGAAATTATGTAGTGGCTTGGTCCGACCATTTACATCAATATATCTTAGTCACATGTGAATATAATATTACCTTGGAGGATGGAGCATGTGTGTTTGCTCATTTTGGATCAAATTTTCGTTTAGAAAGCGGTTCGCTATGACCTGAGTTGTCACATGGATATTTTTAGTACTGAATCTTGTATGAGCCTTCATTTTCTCTTTGTTCACGAATGATTACATATTCAAATGTATTGTAGCCATAATATTCAGCTTAAAAAGATACTAGAGTAAATTACTAGATTATTAATATCCCTCAAATCATAATCTTTTGAACCATTTTGTGTATTCATAACAAGTCTATTCTTTTTGAAAATGTTCAGAGTAATTTAGTGATCACACATCTTCTTACAACAAAATTTGCTCACAATTTTTTTAACAAAAACTCATAAATATTAATTATTGATATATTTCATATCTGTCTATATAAAGCTTTAAGAGAGTATTTTATGAAATTATATTATTTGATAAATATTACTTTAAATCATCCATTTTATTCATAAAAATATTTAATCCTTGCAAGATGTCAAATCGTAATTGTATTTCTAGTTGAATGCACAAATCTTATTGTATTCAAAACTCATGGGATTGACTCAATATAATAATACACTGAAAAAACTCGGACTTCATGTACACACAACAATGCAAAAGAGTGGACACTACGCAGTTCATCTCTTTCTTGATTCTACCTCCACAGTAACACGAATGTTTTATTCGAAAACTTTAATTGTGTGCATAAGAGAACTACAAATATCAGCTCAAATATATTTTATACAGTGCTAGACTAATTCTAGTTTTTCTAATATGAACGAACAATACATAAATCAACTTTTGGAAAATCCACATATACATTTTTTTAAATAAAAAATTAATGAAAAAATCCTAATTTAGTAAAAATCATGATTTTTTCAAAATGGATTGAAATTGTATTTTAATTGTTACATCTATTTTTGAATTGGCATAATAAAAACTAATTTTTCCAAACAAACCTCTTTTTGAGCTTATTTCATGAAACCAATGACTTTTCAACCTTTTTCCAACATTTTTGAATTTTATTCTCATAAGGTACAAAATATCTTATTTGAAGTATATTTGGATTTATGATTCAGAATTTAAATCTTATGCTCTTCAAGAATCATACAAAAAGTGACTCAGAATGCCATAATCTATCCCATGATCAAAATTTTACACAATTCTGAATCTTCAGAAAATTTTCAAACAGCAGATATATATAAAAAGTAACATACTTGATTTTGAACAATGAATATTAGAGTTTCACTCGTATAGTTTTACTTGAACATCACAAGTGGTTTTTTTTATTTTGAAGCGTGTAATATGTGATTTTTCTCAAATAGTGATTTTTTTTATTATATTAAATTTTTTGGTGCGAATTTATTATTTATAATATATTTACTAACCATAACATTAGATAGACCATTAAGAAATGTAATCATTTGAAAGATGATTCAGTAATGCTTAACATGAAAGATCCATATAATGGATGGTGTATATATATATATATATATATATATATATATAAGATACATGGAACATAATGCACTATATAAACCATCAACAGTACAACCTAATTTCTGGAGTTTACTCGGTCCGAGGACTAATAGAGAGAGCGGAACAGCTTGTTTCTCTTGAAATAAATCGCTTTCTCTGTGAGTGGACGCCTAATGTCACATGCATGTAATCAATAAGTGCAGAATGGGTAACCAGTTAATATAGCAAAAAATAAAGTAGAAAAATCACGATTAGCCGGGGAGTTTTGTATATAACCCGGAGAGCTACGTAAACATCAACAACGGGAGCAATTCTCCTCTCAGTAGTGGAGTTTAGTCCAAGCAGGAAAGACAGTGCGACTGAATATCATCTGGATGTGCACTGAACTGTTTGTAGCGTAATAAGAATTGCACATGCCGTGGCACGAAAGAACGAACTGACTTTGCCGGAATTATTCTCCACTAGGACTTTCCCGGCCAAAGACCCACGTTACACCAGTCTTGGGTGACTTCGTCTCATACTGTACTCGAAGTGGTTCTGTGTATGCTGCTGTTTGACTCGCATTTCTTCGAAGCAGGAGACTTCTGCTGCCCACGGTACAGCACCACTGGTCTTCCCACCTTATTAGCACACTCACCGTACTTAACTGGAATGCTGTACAGTATAACTGACGAGGCCTTCTGACCTTATCACCGTACTTACCCGGACATGGTGGTATCGGAGTTCAGTGACTGGAAAAATAAGGTCAACTGTTTATACATGGCTTAATCACCGTACTTACCTGGACATGGTTGCATCGGAGTGAGGTGGCTGGAAAAATAAGACCTCTTAAATTTCAAAGAAGAAAATGTGTTTGGCGGACCATATAAAGTAGTGATCAAAGCAACTAATATCACCCATGAAGCAGCATTGTACATTTTGTAAAAGCACATGATAGCTTTGGGTAGAATAGAGTTACTTTATATGAGTTCAGTGGAGATTTTGTTGTCTCAAGATTTTTTTTGTCATTAGTTACATTATTGTTGGGAAGGTATTATATCAGCATTCTTCTATCACATTGTATGAATACAATTATATTTTTTAAACTCTATTTTGTAACTCTGAGAATGAATGTGTAAGGTATGATAGGATCTCGGCAGTACTCTTCAACCTTATGATATCGAAATAGAAAATGTACGAATTTATGATTTCGAAATAAAAATTTTGCAGTTTTTGATTCTTAATAAGAATGGAGTATTTTGTTTCAGTCTACCAAGTCATATACTTACCTAGACGTCGCATTTTAAAAATATATGTTCCATGAATGTTACCCTAGTTAATAAAGCCTTTGATCTTTTATGTTTAATATCTATTCTACTATTGTTTCGCGTCCAATTTTCGTATCATATCTTCATTTTGTGATTTGAATTATTTCATGGTCTAAAAATGCGCAGGTTATGTTAGTAAGATATCATGTATGTTAGAATTACCATCATGATAGACGAGATTTGATGTTCAATTGATTCAATTAGCAAGAATATGACTCATAGGAGACTAGAATTCTCTATAGTATTATGGATGAGGTTTTTGTTCTGGCATATGAGGTAGATTTGTCATATAAAGAAATCGACGATTTGTCTTATAGTCGACCTAGTTTATATTTGATTCAGGAAACTCAGATTATAATTGCATAAGTGATGATAATTGTACTTACACATAACATAATTTCGTAAAGGTTTATCATGATTCTTGATGGATAAATAACGAATGAGACAGTAGAAACCAATGTCCAAATGTATATGTGAACTCTTTCTGACATAAACGGTTCGTTTAAGAGAAATTGCGATGGAGCCTACAATAATAATATGTGATGTATACCTCTTTAGTTTATCGTAGTGGGGGTGTTTCTGTTGCTGAAATAAAAAAATGGTTTTTATTCTCTTTAGATTATTGTAGTCAAGGGTTTCTATGGCTGAATATTTCTAGATAGTGATGTTTAAGAGATGTAATGTGCTTTATATATGCTTTGAATATCCAACCCAGTTAGAGTTCCACTTGATATGATCGGTGCTGCCCATGTTAACCCTATGGTTTATTAAGAGTTAATGGGGGTAGTCCATCCTTTCTGCTACGATACTCGGTGCCCATAGCTCGAAGATTAACACCTGTGCTCGATTACATACTAGTCAATGCCGTTCGTGTTTCGGCAGAAAGCTACAGCCCAGATCCAGAATAGATTAATTGGTTGGTGTATATTTTAGAACGCAGAGTGATCAAAGACGGGAGTGAAGTAGGAGAGTGGGGAGAGTGAGATGGTGCCAGATAAACAAAGCAGAGTTGTGGAAGAAAGGCGAAGACGTTTTAGGTGAAGGAGGGAGGGAGTCCCAGCAGCCGCCGGAGCAGGGAGACAAAGTGCTGAGGAGGTGGTAATGCCAACACGCATTTCATGCGGAGATCGATGCGTGTTAAATGTTAAATCATCTAGGCGAGTACTGTAGAATCCCCTTTTATTACTCATCATCTCACCCGTTTTCTCTCTCCGCCTTTGCCTGTCTGTTGCTTTTCTTTGCTCTGTTGTTTGTCTGGACCTGATCGGTCTGAAGAGAGCGCGGACTTGCATCTCAGTGTGTGCCCAGATCTGACTTTGCCTTTCATCCTTCGCCCTATTTGCCCTCGTTCTCTGGATAGCTTCTGTAGTTGTCTCCTCGCCCTGGTTTTCAATCGATATCGAACATCGTCGGTCGCTGCAGGTAGTTGTTTCTCTGAAGACAGCAACTTCTCCCTCGTAATTCGTGGATCTAATTGCAGTAGCCCATCCAATTTCGCATAATATATGTGTGAGTCCGTCGATGAGTTCGATATCTTGATTGCTTGAGAAATCCGGTTGACATATCTGTGCCGTGGTTGCTCATGAACTTGATCGCGTGAAGTCCACTTTTTCCCATGCTTGTATTCATAGGTCATATGCACTGTAGTTAGTAGTTTGTGCAGCTGCAAAATGGTCGATGTGGTCTAGATTTGAAGGACATGGGGCGTTGAGGTCAGTACACAGTATCCGTCGTAGGCCAAATGTTTCGCAATTTGCCGAATATCAAGTCTCGGAGTCAGATTTTGATCGGAAACCATTCAGTTTCATCGCTTGTTGTTTTCGAGAATCTTTCATGTGGAATTTGGTCTGTCTCTTGAGGAACTGGTGATTTTGTGCTGGTCGCGAATAGTGTACTCATGGGCGGTACGTCCTCTGCGTGTTTTTTTCAGGTTTCCGACCGGAAATCATTAGGCTAGCGACCGCTCTCGCTTCCCTAGTTTGCTAGACCGGTTGATTTGATGGAGACCTCTTTGTTGGCCGGGAAAGTGAACATACCAAACCCTTGTGCTGTGCCTTCGGTACCCAGTTCCGCTTCTGTTACCGGGTCGATGGCTATGACATCATCTTTCCTGGGATCGCCCTTTCAGAGAATTGGTGTCATGAAGACGTTGTGCAAGGGAGGCAACCGGATGGTGCAGGTAAGAGCGTCGGACAGTGCTGCGAAAAGGGTGGTTCCTTCTTATGCGAACTATGCTGTTCCCATCGAGAATCAGAATACATCTTCGTTCATCACCAGACCGCTCGCAGAAATTTTACGCGATATGAATAAGAGAGTGCCTGACAAGGTGTTGAAGGTTAGAATGGATGAGGGTGTCCCTCTTAAATACATTCCTTGGTACGTCTCCATCTGCTCAATCTCACAATCCACCTCAATCATCTACTCATCTGGGTTCTGACTAGCTTTGTATTATGGGGAAAGCAGTTTTTGGAACTAACCATTCTAGATTGGTCTGACTAGCTCCGCTTCCTTCTCATGTTTGCGTTCTCTTACCTCCTGCTTCTGTGTAGCGTTACATCCTGTTTCGTAATTGGTACACTGAAATGCTCCTTTGAGTTACCAAATTAAGGCTAAAGCAATTTGTTAAATCAATCACTATGCCTCAGTTAAATGTAGTACTTGTTGCTGGGCCGTCAACAAGTGTAGTTCAAGACGGAAGCAGGAGGCTGTGAGTGAAGATGATTAGTGAACTATCTCACATGTTTCTTTCGTTCTGTTTGTGATCCTGAAGGTTACTTATTGCTGGGTTGCGTTTCTTATCAAAACGTGCGGTTTTGGATTCTGTTCCTTACACTCTTATAAAGTTTGTTTTTTGAGCTTATATCTTATCGACACTTATGTTTCAGGTACCATGCCAATCGGATGCTCAGTTTTTATGCTCCAGGTATCCGTACATTTTTGCTTGTATATTTGGTGATCTTTTCAGTTTCTCTAGCTGCTATGAAATATAATATGATCTACTCATATCACGGGGACTGCACTTTCAGTTCAATGTATCTGACTTGAGCACTAAGTCGGATTGCCCACTCATTTATCGGAATCTTGATCATTTGGAATATGTGTTTACCTAACATATGATTGCAGCTATTATTGGACACTCAAAAGCTGCAGTAGCTTTGTATGAACATACAGAATCGCAAAACTTTCTTTTATGGTGTCTTAGAACTTACTTGCTGAACCTTGTCCTGGCTTTATGAAGGTTGGAGTGGCGAAGTCCGGAACATCACTTTTTCGAGTGACGGCAAAACAGTTTCAGTCGTGTATCGTGTCACAATTCGAGGTTTAGACGGAGAGGTTTGTACTTTTCATTGAACATGTGCACTTATAGCACTACAGTTATTCCAGGCTTGTTGAATATACATTCGTTCTCATGACAAGGGCATTGGTCTGTTTGAGGCCACAGCCACGTCTTTTGTTTCGTTCGTGCTTAGGGGTCTGCATATCCTCTTTAATTGTAAATTGTCGTGCACGTCGATAAAGTTTGTACACTGAAGAGCCAGCATCACTATCACTCTATTGATGCGCAGGCTTGGAGGGAATCATCCGGAACAGCTACTTTGGACGACGTGCATTTTGGAGATCCTGTGCAAAAGGCAGAGGGGATGGCATTTCGCAGAGCCTGTGCGCGGTTTGGCCTGGGATTGTACTTGTATCACGAAGATGAAACTCCTTGAGTGTAGTCTTCTTCCTTTTGTCTTAGGTATTATACTGCGAAGCCTGTTTAGAGAGAGGTACGATCTGAGGTTGAAGGTGTGAAAAAAAGGACGGCTACCGGCTCTAGTGAAAGGCATGTGCACTCATGTGGTATATGCAGACCATGATACGTGTGTAATAGAGGGTCACCACGAGTAGTTGGATGTACATTTTTAGATTGATGTTCAGATGAGACGAATGTCAATCCTGCTGACGACATATTGTTTGGTATTGGGACGGAGTGTCCCAATATTGAGGGGTACGCATCGAAGACGATGTTGGACATTGCTATGAACTAGCTAGCTTACAGATATAGCCAGATCCTGTATATTTGCCAGCGCAGAAGTTCTGTGTGATTAGATTCTTAAGGCCATGTATGCGGCATATCTCTGTGTAAAAGAATGGGATGCTCATCTATTCTTGATCTCTTCATCACCTTGCAACGAGTAGTACCATCGTTCGCTTGGAAGCTTTCATCAATCTGGTCCTGAACTCGACAATATGTCCATGTACTTTAAGTATTTTTTATTTGCGATTAATGCCTCCTGTTATTCATGAGCTTCTATTCTGGCTATATTTACATGATTTCTCAGATACATCTAAGGATTCCTGCCTGATTCGGTAGCAATTCGGTCCTCTGTTGGGTGCAAAACTTTGTTAGCTATGTCCTACAGCTCTTGCTTATCGAATCCCTTACCTGTTGGGGCTTCCTTCATTAGTACCAAACCTTCTACGTATCATAACCAGTACATGGCCCTGGTTCAACCTGATATTTATGAGCTTCTCGGCTTCCATTGCATCAGGTACGGTAAAGCCATCCAACTCTGCGCTGAAAAATTGTTCATCTGTTAAATTAACGTATAGTCGTTAAACAATGACTGGGTCTTCTTCGAGACTATGTTTGTACCGCACAGTTTTTGTCGCTTTTGTCTTCGACTCCAAGTAGAGGTCAACTGAGCTTAATCTGAATTCTGACAGAAACTAAGGGACAAAGCCCACCCGACGAGTATCTTTTATACTTAGAACCTTGCACATGCAGACTTCGCAACTTTATGCTCCCAGCACCAGGGATAAAACTCTGCCGGTTGTAGTGGCAAGTACTCAGAAAGGAGATTTCCAATTTTTGATACAGAGGTTTAGCTGTATAGATAGCACACCATCTGTAAAGATAAGTTTAATTTTTGAATAATCTATATTGATCTTATATGTTATAGTCTCACTTTATAACCTAGCACTTTACATTAAGATAATATCGATGATCTTCAATAATTCTTCAAAAAAATAATTTCAAAGACTATATAATGCTATTTAAAAATCATTTAAAATGAAACAATAGTATGTCAATTTCAAAATTCTATTTATAAGATCTGTTCTTTAGGTATAAAAATTTCTATAACTGAGCCCTATATCTTTCGATTTAAAATTATGTTCAATGTATTATATCTATAAATCATAGAATTATTCCAATTCAGTCAAGTTCAATGAATTATATTTCCTGATCAGTGGACTATACTAGACAATAACAAATCTGAACGCAAACTTTAATTCAATTTACGTTTGTGCATTTCAATATATTTTAACAAACCATGACTTTGAAATTATGAAAATTTCATACACACATATATCTAGACAAGTGCAAATTTAGCTCTATCATACTTTTAGAAATATCTATATATAGAACTCTACCAGAGAAGAATTCTTGCTAAATATTTTATCAAAAATATTAAGTGTGTTCAAATATCTCATAGTATAAGTCATTTTTGCATAAAAACATGAATTGTTAAAGGTTTCAAACATCATTGATAGCGAAATATAATTTTTCCTGATTGATAGTTAGATATTGTGATGTCATTTGAACATTCAATCTATAATACATGAACAAGTGAAATGATATAATAATCTATCATTGATTAATGTATTACATTTCAAACTAGCATGAAATAATTCAGTTATTTTTTATGAGGTATATTCAACGCAACTCACAAAATATTTTATCATTTCAATGACATTTTCTACATACGATTCATATTCAAGCACGAAAATAATACAACAAAATACATATATTTTACTTGTTATTATGAATTGTAATCAACATAGTGATCTTTTAACTCCTTCAATCACATAACATATGGATTTGAATGAATACTATCACACTAAATATCTAAATTTTTTATCAATAAAAGAATACAAACATTTAAATATTTTTTGATTTGCACTAAAGAGTTTAAACAATACATATGAATTATATTTGTTTGCAACAAACACGTTTTGGATTATTATGACTAAAGTTATTTGATAAATTTAAATAATAATAATTTAAATAATAATGTAAATAATATGTATTCATGAATGACAATAGTGATAGATATCAATTTAGATTATTAAAAAGATTATCGTAGATTTTTATAATAAAGATTTGTGTACAAATATTTCAAGAGCACAATGATATTTTTCTAAAATCTAAATTTGAATTTTAACTCATTACTTTAAATAAGATCTATATGTGAAGAAATTCATCTCTAGATATTGAAATGTTTAATGCAAACATGCATGCTAATATTGAGATTCGTAATATCATGTAGTAATATGTGAAATAATGACTTAGAAGAATCAAAATACGGTGTTGATAATGATTTGTTGTTTGTCATGGCTAGAATCAAAATCTTCTTGCAAAATGAGTTCGAGGTTTGAGGTGAAAGCCTGCACTACAGGGAAGATTGACAAGGGTCTGTCTATATGAAGGATTGTGTGGCGCTTTTGTGCACATTGCCTGCCAGCTTTTTTGAGATCAGATCTGATTGTTTCTTGGAGTATTCCTTCTCTTTCTTCATGGGCTGTTAGATGTGCACTCTACTGCTTCAGACGGTTGTTATTCTTGATGTTCTCCTCGTAGTCTCAAGCTTATAAACCTGGTAGTTCTGGACTTGAGGTTGTGGTGCTGAGAAATTGAGCTGGCTTGATTACAAAAACTACGAGAAACGAGCTAGTAGAAAGCACTTCCGCGATATCATTATCAGGATCTGGCGTTTGATATGGCTCTCACGATACAATTTACGCTTCTCTTGTAGCCGGGGCGATCATACCGCAGTCGGTTGCCCGGAAGTAACTGCCGGTAACCTGTGCGCAGCAGGAGATTCCTGGGGAAAGAATTGATCGCATACTCCAGCAGAATAGGGCATTTTCTTCGAAGTGCCTGTGCAAAGCGAGGAGTGGAGCACTTTTGAAGCTTGCAAGCACGGCATCTTCCGAGAATCAAGCGTAGAACTTACCCTCGTCGAGAAAACGGATGAGCTAAAAACACGCTTGATCGAAAATGGGAGGCCGTGTTAGGAAAGTGAGACTGACGAGGCTTGGCACAACCAGCTGAGAATTCCTACACGATAGTGAATCAGACTATCATGGCTGACAAGGCCGAAAATGCAATCACTGCAGCGTCTCTCACTCAGGTCCAGATTAAGACCATCACACAAAGTAGGCCGCTTGCCGAAATAATTCAAGACTTGAGCAAGCGACTGCCAGAACACCTGCTCTGTAGTGTTCCACATAAATGGTTCGAGGCTCAAAAACAGGCCCGTGAGAAAGAGGCAAAGGAATGTCGAAAGAGGCACTATCCTCTTGATCTGCTCCCGTACGATGTACCTCACAAATACATTCCCTGGTACGCATTTCCCTGTTGTGGGCCCCACCCGAATGCAAAAATTTCTGTCTTTCAAATTTCACAGGCCGTTCAGTCCGACTTATACATAGCTTCAATCGTGAAAAGAAGCTCGTCATGATCGCAACTTTACTAAATATTAGTGCTACATGACCACGTTTTGCAGGTACAATGCTGTCCGGGTTCTCAACCACTATGCCCCAGGTATGAGATGCCTTACAGTTTTATGAAATAGTTGGCTAGACGTACTGATGTTTTAAAAGAATGTGGGAATGCGTCGAATCCATAGCGCAGATGGTAAGCGAAGCAGTTCAGTTGTGATTTGTAAGCTCTCAACACGAGCTTCATTGAGAAGTTGGTTACCAGACGGCTCAAATATGAACGATTGCGATGTAAAGCTTCAGTTAGAGTCTAGTTCATCACGAGATTAGTGCAGCATAAGCAATCTGCAAACTTAGGGCTTACTGCTCCAGCTCAAATTCTAATGTTAAAAATAGGAAATATTTTGCACTCCGTTGGAGTTTTAGACCAGAGCTCCAAGTTATGACTTAGTAGTAAAGGTCCAACTTACCTACTAGATCACAAGGAGGAGCTCGAGAGTACAAGACAGGGACTCGAGAAAATTTATTCAGACAGAAGATCTGGCTTTCTTTCCCTCTGTTCTCCTCCAGAGCCTTTGTGTCCTTGACTGCCCTGCCTTCACATAAATTATGTAATCGATATTGCGAGGAGCATGGCGGGCCATTCCGCGAAAAATTTGGAAACAATATACAATGACAATTTTACAGACTTCACTGGAACGTGTGTGCTTCATTTGAGTTATCCCTATAGAACTGCCCTCTTGCCGATAATAGAGCTCGCTGATTTTCTATTTGAATTGGTAGTTGTTGGACTTTCCGGTTGGTGCAGAAACTGCAAGAGGTCTGTGGTAGACCTATTGCTAATCGAAGTCCGTACCGTTTACTCCATTGGTTCTAACTGAATTATGTAACATGATATAGATATTTTGTGATCTTGTCAGATAGAACCCTGACTTGATGTGTAATAAAAATGCAGGCTGGATCGGTGAGATTCGCAACATTGCTGTACCTGGAAAGAGTGCAAACACGTTTGTCACTGTTGTATACCGTATCACTCTGAAGGGGGCTGATGGAGAGGTTAGCTTTTGTAGTCTACTCATCACCTGTTACTTCCCGTCTTCATCCGTTCACTTACATCGTTACATAATCTTTCGTAAATCTGCACTCTTTGGTCCCCTTGTGTTTTAGGCCCTTGTGGGTGCTAAACCCTAAACCCATCTTTGTTTAAAACCGTTCCGTCATCTTCAAACAATTCCATGACATAACTAGCTGAATTTTGTGCTCCTTGGTCTTCTTACCGATAAAGCCTGTGTAGGCTTTATATCAACATTATCTTACAATAATAATTTTCACGCAATAAGCTAAAAGAAGAACATGGCTGCTTTTCAGTATTTATTGTCTCTTATCTCACTGAAGTTTTCATATTCTGCAAAGTCATTAATTTGCCATTTCACTTAGTCAATACTTGCTGGCATTTTTCTTGTGCAAAACTTACAGCTGACCGGACGATAAAATCGTATATATTACACTAGCTCTTGTTTTTCCCCTACGTCGAGGTTCATGGGTAGAATCATTTACGGATCTTCTTCCGAGAGTTTGCGTCTAGGTACTCATTGCTACGTTAAGATATCTCTTACTTTTACTGTGGTGCAGGTCTGCCGCGAAGCATCTGCGACTTCAACTATGGATTACAGTGACCATTCCGTATATTTCTCGCCAGTGCAAAACGCAGAGCGCGAAGCTTTTTGCAAGGCCTGTCTGCTATTTGGGCTTGGATTGTATTTGTATCATTCACCTGATGCCCCACCTCACGGCTCCAATTCAGATGAGTACCTACAGGTGCCTCCCTAGGTGTTCAAGTCCAAGTTTTTCAAGGACCACCTTAGCTCACACTTTGATTCTTGAGGATGTTGTAGTTGTATTTTAATTTTGGAGGTGACCTCCCAAGAGGTGCAGATCTAAGTGCCGTATATTTAGTAAAGTCCTGAAGAAGATCAGATAAACTGTTGACTTCGATCGCAGCTGAATGAATTTGCGAAGTTGAACTCTTGAAAGTTGCCCGATTTGAAAGTTGACAGATTTTCCAGCTGTAAATGGAGACTTATTTTACAGTTCGAGCCTCTTGTTTGAGCTTATCTATCCCGGTTTGCATCTAATAGACGTTCCTCTCGAGGTTCTAGGTCGTCTCAACTGGTCTTGTGTTGCTGTATGAACAGAATGGGTATACCGAAACAACCGGCAGTCGGCTTAGATCGAGCTACCGACTTAGAGAAGATTGTAACCTTCCTGGGCTTTTGTAATCTATTTCACAGAAATTTGCGTTACATTGTGGATCCCCTAAAATGGTGCAATGTCTTCAATAGGCATGGCCAGAGTTAACTGCCTCCTGTCTGTCGGATCAGTAACGAGAACTGTCTAAAACTGCAAGCATCTCCCAAAGCGGAATCATGCCCTTGAAGTTCTCTGAGCGCGTGAATGTTCTGTATTTGAAGTTTGTAAAACGAGTTCGTTATGATCAAAAGAACCTGAATTCAGTTGATGAGATAGCCCGGTGAGGCCTCGTAGTTCCAGATAGAGCCAAGAAAGATGTTTGAAGACGTTTTTTTAGACTTAGTGAAATGGAAAAGTTTTTGGATCAGGCAGATGCAGACGAAGCTGGTCTTTCGAAAATATTGGGAGCGATGATGAAGTGAGTACAGAAGATTTCGATGAAACTGACAGTGTAGAATCTGGCTCAAGTGAAAATTCTTTCAGTGCAAAAACTGGCGGTAGGGCTCGAAAGTTAGTGTCAGGATCGATAGAGGAGAGGTATAATGGAAGGGAAAGTGACTTGAGTCCAGAAAGACCTAACTTGAGAAGAGCAAAAAGGCGCAAGTTGAGACATTCAGAAAGCGAAAGCGCAGAAACCTCTGAGGACAGCGAGGACGATGGGAAAAGTGATGAATTCAGTATATTCAGTCAGCTGGGGAATGTTGCAACAGTTCTGCATTCATCACCCATCTCGTCTCAAATGCTGTTTTCGAGTGTTGTTCAACTTGAAGCTTTACAGATGCCGTCTGCGCGGTTCTTACCGCCAAAGGGAACTTGGGCTCCATCCACTTTTCCCAGACTAACACCGTCTCAGGTGCTCTGAGTATCTCTACACCTGTCAGTGGACACATGTCAGTTCGTGTTGTTATGATCTGCTTTACCTCCCTGTGTCTTACGTTAGCGATTTCCGCATGATGAAGTTGCATCTATAAACTTTGTGATAACATGGTTGTTATGTTCATGGACGAGAAGTTATCAGCTCATGCAAAGCAGTATAAAAAGCTCAAAAAGCAGATGGCGCGTTCCCGAAGGACAGCTCATGACTTGAGAGTCTCGAGAGAGCAAGAGGTAAGCTTTTGAACTTCGTGCAAAAGTACTCAAAATTGCCTGTGAGGGAGGCAGTCTTCATTCATGAGATTTCTGGCAAAAACTGGCAAAAACCTATGCACCTCGGAACACACTGATGATGCCGTCCAGTTGTGTGATAGCAATTTGATGCTTGGCATTCATCTATGGCTGATGGTCGCGTACCCAGTGCCTATACTGCACTTTTATTTTATTTGTCTTGTTATCGATTTGTTCATTTCTTTCCCTGCTAGCGCGTGCACTTGAAGCTTCCGATGATTTTATTGGTCCACATCGTCTTCTTTGTCTCTATTATGCCTTCGGGATCCCTCACCAGGCATTCTGGTTGTTCGTAGAGTCTTCGTGATTGCCCGTTTTTCCTCGTATGCTAAGGACTATGGAGATGACTTGTGCACAGCACTTTTGTTTCTAGAACTGGAATTAACCCTTTAAATAGTTCCTTTAGGAGCTATTGACCTCATCAGAAGATCGTTGTAGTTAACATCTTGCTGCAATTTCTATGTGGATTCTTCTCATCAGGAATAAGCGTTTTCGGTAATCCTTGATCCATTATTTTTGAAATGATGTGTGCAGATAAATAACCAAACGGCAGATGCGTGGACACTCATGAATCTCATTCCCGATGTGTTATGTCTTGAAAGTTCTAGTGTGATACCATGTAATTCATCGAATTCTGCTGCGGTATGTTCACTGAAAAAGCTAAGTGACGAGAAAGCTGAAGAAGCCCTCAATGTTGGTCTTCGTGAGGAAAAGATGAGAGGATCGAAGGAAAAGGTAAGGAATGCCAAGCAGAGAAGCCTTAAGTTTGCCACTGAGGCAAGAAAACGATCCCGGCAATTGTTTAGTGAGAAGGAAGTAAAGATACCTAAGTCTGGAACTGCAGGAGACTGGACATCATCAAGTGAGGGAAGTCTAACGGGGATAGAAGGAAGTTTATCCACTCGGAAGGCGGTATCCCCTAGACAAACGAAAGGCAAGCCTGAGATGGACCGTGATGTCAAAAACGGTAACTCTCAGAGAAAAGCGAATACGCTAGTTGTTAATTATGACTTAAAAACTGCTGGAGAGTCTAGATCTTCAAGTGGAGACAGTGACACAGATGCAGACGAAAATTCAGTGCGGTCCAAGATTTCGAAATCTGGACAGAGGGACAAGTTGCAACTTATCGAGAAGGCACTGAGTATTGGAAATGGAGTTACGGGTAAAAGAGAGAAGTTATTTGCCAGCGATAAAACTCCTCATGGTGCTGGAGACGCACTAACATTAAATAAGAGAAGTAAGTCTGAACTAGAAACAGCAACGCAATCATCTCTCATGAATCTAAAGCTAAATAAAAACCACTAGGGCCTGAACAGAAAAGTGGGCTCACTGGAAGTGTCCCTTTGAGTAACGCATTGTCCACTGAGCTGGTTGTGTTGCAAGTAAATTTTTTTTGTGATGACGGTTTGAGTATACAAGAGAAGTGTGACAGAGAAGCTTTACAGCTTGTAGTTCTTAGTCTGAAAACACTGATCACCATAACGGGAAGAAAGTAATCGAAGGTGAGAATGTTCTTGAATTTGCGGGGATTGAACATTACTCAAGAGTCTTGATTCTTATGCAGGTACAAAGCCCAACCAGGAAAAAGTTCTAGACTGTTTGGGGAATAAGGAATTCCATATGGTTGAAGAGAAACCTGGCACAAGGAGAAGGGTCATAGGGCTGGAAGAGTCTTCTGCTGGCGAACATGCTTCTGGAAGGATCCGGAGAGCATCACTGTCTAGGAAGAAATCTGTAACGTCTGCAGGTGAGGCAGCAAAGATCAACGAACTTGACTCTAGGACTAGAAAGCAATCACGCGCAATGAGTAATGAGAGTACAGCGAAGGTCCGCCAGAGGAATAAGATACTTGCTCTGTATAACTATTCAGAAAATGCTGGAGAGTCACAACAATCGATGAGAGGGTTTGAGATAGGTGCCGATGGATCGGTCGGGAGCTCCAGCGTGGTGCATTCTCCACTGGAAAATTTACCTTTCCAAAATGTCGTGGGAATTGAGGGCTCATTTGAAGGGGAACAGGAAGGATCTGTTGAGAGACGTTTAGGTAGTCCTGAAGAATCAACTTCGTCAGATGGCAATCTTGGAATGAATACATCTGTAGGACCGCAGAGCTTGGGTGGAACCAGGGGCCGGGACAGAACAGACGTCCAGAGCATACGAGTGAGGAAGAAAGAGAAGAGAAAGTATGTGGTTCCTGATAGTTTGGAAAGCTTCGAGGAATCAGCATCAACAAGTAGAAGTCCTAGAAGTTGTGCGAAGGTATTGTCATGTGACTCAGACCTGGGGAAGCCCCTCCAGAGTACAGCTGAGGATACGAATGAAATTCCTGGAGAGCCAGCAAATCAATTTAATACGGATGTGATAATTCACAGCTCCGAAGTGGTACAAGTGTCAGATGACAAGTTTGGGAGTGTGCCACAGGATAATCTTACAGATACAAGAGAGTACTCAATAGGAGATGCTGGTGATTCGGCCGATGCTTCTGAAAGTAGAGAGTCAAATTTAGACCTGGGGGGTTTGGAGAATTTGGGTACAAGAAGTAAAGTTTCCACGTTTACTCATGTAACACAAGTAAAGGACCTCCAGCCGATTGTAGAAGGTAAGGGGGTGATTGGCAGGAGAAGGGAGGAAGGAAGGAAAAGGAAGGAAGTAAAGGAAAAGGCACGTGTGAGTGATAATGGGTCTGAAAACGAGGAAGAATCAATATCGTCAAAAGAGTTTTTGGACGAATATGAACACTCGCAATCAGGAAACTTGAAGACTGTACGGTCCATCGGGAAGGAGAAAGGTCATTCTCCTACAAGAATGTCAGTGAGAAGCAAACCAAGTCGACACCAATTGAAGGGGTCAGTGTCCGATGATTTCGGTTCTGAAAGTGGCGCAGAATTATCATCCAACGAACCTCTCGTGGGGTATGGAGATAGGTTGGCCCTAAGGTCTAAGAGGTCCATTCCCACGCAAGGTTATAGAAGGCAAATCAGGAAGGAAAATTCCGGCAGTGCTACACAACAAGCTCCAATTGCCGAGAGAAGTGAAGCAGATGCATTCTCGGAGAGCTTGATTGTTGTGCCGGTAACTGAGAGAGAAGTTAATGAGTGTGTTGGGCAAACACGAGAAGACACGGTAAAACATGGGGCGGACAAGGTGTCTAAAGCTAATGATGATGGTAGTGATGAAAGTTCCAGAGAACAAACATCTTCAAGTGAGAGTGGCGAACTTATATCAAATGCAGCGTACCCGAGCTCCGATATGCTGCGGCCCAACTCAAAGATTGAGGTCCAAAAGGTCAACACGGTTCTAAGAAAAGAAAAGAGGATTGAACAGCTTGAGGGACTAACTGAAGATGCCTCAACTAACTTTGAAGTGGCTGAAGATATAAAAGCTGCGCCCCATGCACTTCCAAGGTTGCAAATTAAGCGCTCCCTTGAAAGGAAAACTCCGCAACTCAAGAATTCCGTAAAGAGTAGGGAGGGGGTACTACTCGAAAAGAATAAGAAGGGTACGGTGGCGAATGTATCTCGAAGATCTGGAGAGTGGGAATCATCCAGTATGCTCCTTGAGATTCCTTCTGAAATAGTTTCTGAAAATTCTAGAAGTGAGCAGTCTTTACAGACGTTAAAGAGGGGAGTGATTCCAGAAACTGCGGGTAAGCTTTTGGACCGAATCTCTTAATGCACTTAATTTGATTCAGAAGTTGCCGAATATGTTTAATTATGTTAGCACGTAAGCTCTTTAACCTTAAGATTTTATTCTACTCAGTGCCGGTGAGGGTCCTTGAACAAATGCCTACGTGCTTTGATCTCCTAATGTTCGAGAGGGTGCAAGGTCTTCCGAGGAAATAAGCCAAACTTTACAATGAGCTTTATGGGATAAGAAGAGGGTTGCAAGGGGAATCTCCGGCTAGTAGCCTTGTATATTGTATAGTAGCCACATATTGCCGTGGCTGGTCTTGTACACTAAAGAGAAATGACGAACATGACTCTGAATATCACACAGGTTACCAGAACTCCGAATTGCTGCGTTCCACACAGGAGGATAAAGCTGAATCTTCCGTCACTTGGGAAAGAGATACTCGCAGAAAAGAAGAGAAGACGGTAGTCCCAAACGAGCTCAAAATCGTAGGAGGCTCGGAACTGGCTCGTGAGAGTAACAGTGAGGCCTTTGGAGATTCTCAGGTATTGCAAACCTTACAGGACAAGGAAAGTGTTAAATTGGTCTTTGATACAGAGAGCACGAGCACAAAAAAAAAGAAGGTTAATGCCGTAGTTGATCGAACTGAATGTTCGGGTGACTCAGCGTCACTAGATGAGACTGAGTGTTCTACCGATGCAACATCCGAGTCGTTCAAACTAGTGCAGTCCACTTTGGATGAGGATGCCCATTCCTCTCAAAGACTTGCGGAGCATGGTGTGAAAATACAGCTCAGTATGACAAAGAAGGATGCTATAAATGATGAACGTGTACGGGATGAGAAACCGTTACTATCAACTAGGACTCGGGAGTCTTACACCGATGCAGCATCCGATACAGTTAAACTCGTGAAGTCCACTTTGGATGAGGATGTACATTCCATTGAAAGAATTGCGGAGCATGGTGTGAAATTACAGTACAGTATGACGAAGAACGATGGTGTAAATAATGAACGTGTACGGGATGGGAAACTGATCATGTCAACGGAGACTCCGCAGTCGTACACCGATGCAACCTCCGAGATCTTCAAACTCGAGCAGTCCCCTTTAGATAAGGATGCCCATTCCTCTGAAAGAAATGCGGAGCACTGTGGGATAGAACAGCAAGGTAGAACGAAGAAGAACGCTACAAAAGACGAACATGTACGGGATGGGAAACTGACAGTAACAGATGAGACTCTGGAGTCGTACACCGATGAAACCTCCGTGACGTTCACACTCGTGCAGTCCGCTTTCGATGAGGATGCCCATTCCACTGAAAGAATTGCGGAGCACTGTGGGATAGAACAGCAAGGTAGAACAAAGAAGGACGCTACAAAAGACGAACATGTACGGGATGGGAAACTGACAGAGGAGACTCTGGAGTCCGACATCGATGCCACATCAGAGACGTTCAAATTACTGCCGCCCCTTTTAGATGAGGATGTCCTTTCCATCAAAAGAAGCGCGGAGCATAGTGGGGTGAAACAGCACAGTCTTACGAAGAAGGATGAAACAAATGATGAAGGTGTACGGGATGGGAAACTGGCAGTTTCAGATGACACTATGGAGACGTACACCGATACAACATCCGGGACGTTCAAACTCGTGCAGACCTCTTTGGATGAGGATCCCCATTCCATCGAAAGAAATGCAGAGCGTGTTCGGAAAATACGGCATAGTAAAACGAAGAAGGGCGCCATAAATGATGAAGGTGTTCGTGATGGGAAACTGGCAGTCTCAGATGACAATATGGAGTCGTACACCGCTACAACATTCGGGACGTTCAACCTTGAGCAGTCCTCTTTGGATGACGATGCGCATTCCATTGGGAAAATTGCGGAGCATGTCCGGAAAATACGGCACAGTATATCGAAGAAGGGCGCCATAAATGATGAAGGTGTTCGTGATGGGAAAGTGGCAGTTTCAGAGGAGACTAAGGAGTCGTACACCGATGCAACATCCGAGCATGGTGCATCCGAGACGATGAAACTCGTGCCATCCCCTTTAGATGAGGATGCTCATTCCATCGAAAGGAATGCGGACCATGTTCGGAAAATACGGCACAGTAAAACGAAGAAGGGCGCCATAAATGATGAAGGTGTACGGGATGGGAAACTGGCAGTTTCAGAGGAGACTATGGAGACGTACACCGATACAACATCCGGGACGTTCAAACTTGAGCAGTCCTCTTTGGATGAGGATGCGCATTCCATTGAAAGAAATGCGGAGCATGTTCGGAAAATACGGCACAGTAAAACGAAGAAGGGAACCATAAATGATGAACGTGTACGGGATGGGAAACTGGCAGTTTCAGAGGAGACTATGGAGTCGTACACCGATACAACATCCGAGACGTTCAAACTTGAGCAGTCGCCTTTTGATGAGGATGCTCATTCCATGGGAAGAAATGCTGAGCATGGTGGGAAAATACAGCACAGTAAAACGAAGAAGGACGCCACAAACGATGAACGTGTACGGGATGGGAAACTGGCAGTTTCAGAGGAGACTATGGAGTCGTACACCGATACAACATCCGAGACGTTCAAACTAGTGCAGTCCCCTTTGGATGAGGATGCTCATTCCATGGGAAGAAATGCGGAGCATGGTGGGAAAATACGGCACAGTAAAACGAAGAAGGGCGCCATAAAGGATGAACGTGTACGGGATGGGAAACTGGCAGTATCAGATGACAATATGGAGTCGTACACCGCTACAACATCCGGGACGTTCAAACTTGAGCAGTCTTCTTTGGATGACGATGCGCCTTCCATAGGAAAAAATGCGGAGCATGTTCGGAAAATAGAGCACAGTAAAACGACGAAGGGCGCCATAAATGATGAAGGTGTTCGGGATGGGAAACTGGTAGTTTCAGAAGAGACTAAGGAGTTGTACACCGATACAACATTCGAGCATGGTGCATCCGAGACGATGAAACTCGTGCCATCCGCTTTGGATGAGGATGCCCATTCCATCGAAAGGAATGCAGAGCATGGTGCGAACATACAGCACAGTTCAACGAAGGAGGACGCTATCAATAATGAACGTGTTCGTGATGGGAAACTGGCAGTATCAGAGGAGACTCTGGAGTCGTACACCGATTCAATATCCGAGACGTTCAAACTCGTGCAGTCCCCTTCGGATGAGGATGCCCATTTCATCGAAAGAAATGCAGAGCATGGTGGTATGATACAGGACAGTATACCGAAGAAGGACGCCACAAACGATGAACGTGTACGGGATGGGAAACTGGCAATATCAGAGGAGACTTCGCAGTCGTACACCGATGCAACATCCGAGACGTTCAAACTAGTGCAGTCCAGTTTAGATGAGGATGATCATTCCGTTGAGAGAGTTGCCGAGCATGGTGGGAAGATACGTCATAGTATGGGGAAGAAGGATGATATAAACAATAGACGTGTTCGTACTGGGAAACTGGCAGTTTCAGAGTCGACCATGGAGTCGGACACCGATGCAACATCCGAGACTTTGAAACTCGTGCATCCCCCTTTGGATGGGGATCCCCTTTCCATCGCAAGAAATGCAGAGCATGGTGGTATGATGCAGCACAGTATAACGAAGAAGGATGAGACGAATGATGAACGTGTACGGGATGGGAAACTGGCAGTTTCAGATGACACTACGGAGACGTACACGGATACAACATCCGGGACGTTCAAACTTGAGCAGTCCTCTTTTGATGAGGATGCCCATTCCATTTTAAGAAATGCGGAGCATGTTCGGAAAATATGGCACAGTAAAACGAAGAAGGGCGCCATAGATGGTGAAGGTGTTCGTGATGGGAAACTGGCAGTTTCAGAGGAGACTATGGAGTCGTACACCGATGCAACATCCGAGACGTTCAAACTCGTGCAGTCGCCTTTTGATGAGGATGCTCATTCCATGGAAAGAAATGCTGAGCATGGTGGGAAAATACGGCACAGTAAAACGAAGAAGGACGCCACAAACGATAAACGTGTACGGGATGGGAAACTGGCAGTTTCAGAGGAGACTATGGAGTCGTACTCGGATGCAACATCCGAGACGTTAAAACTAGTGCAGTCCCCTTTGGATGAGGATGCGCGCTCCATTGAAAGAAATGCGGAGCATGGTGGGAGAATACGGCACAGTAAAACGAAGAAGGGCGCCATAAAGGATGAACGTGTACGGGATGGGAAACTGGCAGTTTCAGAGGAGACTATGGAGTCGTACTGGGATGCAACATCCGAGACGTTCAAACTAGTGCAGTCTCCTTTGGAAGAGGATTCCCATTCCATCGAAAGGAATGCAGAGCATGATGCGAACATACAGCACAGTTCAACGAAGGAGGACGCAATCAATAATGAACGTGTTCGTGATGGGAAACTGGCAGTATCAGAGGAGACTCTGGAGTCGTACACCGATTCAACATCCGGGACAATCAAACTCGTGCAGTCCCCTTCGGATGAGGATGCCCATTCCATCGTAACAAATGCAGAGCATGGTGGTATGATACAGCACATTATAACGAAGACGGACGCCACAAACGATGAAGGTGGACAAGATGGGAAACTGGCAGTATCAGAGGAAACTTCGGAGTCGTACACCGATGCAAAATCCGAGACGTTCAATCTAGTGAAGTCCAGTTTAGATGAGGATGATCATTCCGTTGAGAGAATTGCGGAGCATGGTGGGAAGATACGTCATAGTAAGAGGAAGAAGGATGCTATAAATAATGAACGTTTTCGCAATGGGAAACCGGCAGCATCAGAGGAGACCATGGCAGTATCAGAGGAGACTTCGGAGTTGTACACCGATGCAACATCCGAGACTTTGAAACTCGTGCATCCCCCTTTGGATGGCGATCCCCATTCCATTGACAGAACTGCGGAGCATGGAGGGAAAGTACAGCACAGTATAACGAAGAAGGATGCTCTAAATCATGAACGTGTTCGTGATGGGAAACTGACACTAGCAGAGGAGACTCTGCAGTCGTACACCGATGCAACATCCGAGACGTCCAAAATAGTGCGGTCCCCTTTTGATGAGGATGCCCATTCAATGGAAAGAAATGCTGAGTATGGTGGGAAAATACAGCACAGAATGACGAAGAAAGATGCTATAACTCATGAATGTGTACGGGACGGGAAACAGATAGTACCAGACGAAATTCTGGAGTCTTACACCGATGCAACATCCGAGACGTTCAAACTAGTGCAGTCCAGTTTGGATTTGGATGCCCAATCCATTGAAAGAATTGCGGAGCATGATGGGAAAGCACAGCACAGTATGATGAAGACGGATTCCATACGTGATGAAAGTAAACTAGATAGGAAACTCACACTATCAGAGGAGCCTTTGAGGACAGCCGAAGCAACATCACAGAGCTACAGTTTGCAGGCAGCGAAGAAAAAGGAAGGTGAAGCACGCGGCCCAGGTCCAAGTAAAAAGGGAAGGGTTGTATATAAGGAGAGGAAGACGGCTTCAAGCGACAACCCTTTGGAAGAGTTCGCGGTGTCCACATCATCTAGTAAGAAGTATGCTGATGGATTATCACGGAGCTCCAGAGCGAAGTCATTACAGGAAGATAAAGTTCAGCTTCCTGCAGAGGCTATCGAGTTGAAACGGAACGACGGAATGGAAGACGTGCTGATAGAAAAAACCGAAACAGGGAAGACGGATATAAAAATTGCCGAGGGATCCATATCATACATCGAAGACTCGGATACTTCTGCAGATACAGCTTCATCTAGCCGCAAGTTACACTCTCTAGATGAAGGAATCGAGGACAATCCACTTCCTATCGTAACTCCTGAGCAGAGAGGTAGAGTCAAATTCCCAGAGGTGAGAACAGGTGTTGTCAACAATGATCTGAAATCTTATGAAAAGTCGAGATCATCCGAAGAGAGTTCCAATTTTGAAACACCAGGGAGGAAATTTTCAAAGGAAGTATCAGTTCAAGTTGTAGAGAAAGCATATGAGCCAATTGATCGGTGCATAGACGAAAGGATTGATGCAGGAGGTGTGTACGCTGGTGACCGTATATCCAAATGGACCGATTCTTCATCACTATCTTCGGAAGGCTCTGGAAACGAAATGAGACGCATTCTTCAAGTAGGTGAATCTGCAACGGACGAAGGAGCTCAAGTGGTCGAGAAAGCTCCTCTTCCAAGGCAAAAAGCACAGAAGGAAACGACGAAACCAGCAGTCCAGGAATTTGGCTTTTTAGATGCTGAGATTTCAGCATCATCGAGTCGAAGTCCTGAATTTTATAGGGAAGCACCACCAAAGAATTTGAACGTACTGAAGAAGACTGAGGAGACAGAGACATTTCCAATAAATGATCAAACACATATCTTTCAAGGGACCCAGACACAGCCCTTTCATGAAGATTCCCAAAATGTTACAGAGTTGAACACTTGGATTGAAACTTTCAAGACGAACGTCAATGAGACGTCAAATGTTCCCGAGTTTGTACAGGGGAAGGAAAGGGTGGAAATACTTGATAAGCCACAGAGGTCACCTAGGCTGAGAGGAACGGTCAAGCAGAGTAAGAAGAAGCTTCACAACGCAAATAATAAAGCTGAAGCAGATGGAGCGTCACCATTCCCGAGGAAGAGTATGAAGAGTTCTGCGTATGTAAAAAATCAGACACAGAAGAATGTGGAGGCAAATTATAAAGAAGGCCAAGCTTTTAAGAGAGGTTCACCGTCTAGGGTTACACTAAAGCCGAAATCCATCGACAAACTTGCTGTACGCCTTATTTCTGGAATTCGTGAAGTTGCATCATCGAGTGAGCGTCCGAAAGCATATTCTGAAAAAGCAAAAAGCGCGGTCACAGACCTTCCAGTTAGAAAGCGAAGTGATTTGCCAACACAGAAACGAAAGGAAACCGTTTTGGATGATGAGACTCGCTCTACTGAACCTTCGGCTTCATCCACTGAAGGTTATGAGACTGATGCCGATGAACCATCCCGAGAGTCCACGGAGAGGGCGGAACAGCTGGAGAGGACCCGACAATTAAGGCAAAGTGTAGTCCAGAAAGTACAAGATACAAGGAGGGGAATCAAACAGAAAATGCTCAGGACGTCTGAGGGTTTTTATCCAAATATCCAAGAAGTCACGACCTTGAGTGAGAGTAGTAACGTTGTCACATCGTTTGATTATGACAAATTCGTAACATCTAGGCTAGAAAAGGAAGGTGAAGTCTCCGGGGAAGCTCTACATCCCGAAAATTACCATCGGTTCGAGGAAGGAAAATATCCTGCTTTTGTTGGTGGTCTCGACTCCGATACAGAAACCATCTACTTTAGCGAGGAAAGTGAGAATGATGTAGATGCAACAAGAGACAGTCCAGAAGGATTCACATATAGAAATTTAAGTACAGAATCTTTATACTATAGTGATGGAAGAGACAGCTCAGAGGAGATGACAAAGGATATTGTAAGCACAGAGACCTTACACTTAAGTGTGGGAAGTGAGAGTGAAGAAGAAGCAACAAGAGACAGCTCAGAGGAATTGAGAAAGAGACCCAAAATTTCAGAAGCCATATACTATAGTGAGGCGATTGAAAATGAAGAAGGCAAAACGAGAGGCAGTGCAGAGAAGTCCAAAAATAGTGGAAAACGGACAAGTCAAACTGTTTATCAAAGTGGCAAACGTTTGACTTCTTCTAGTAACGGCAGCGAAACTGATGCTGTCCCAGCGTCCCGTGATGTCAAGTTTTCCCAGTCTGGACAGGAGAGTGAGAGCGAATTTCAAAGAAGAGCTCTTGAGCTAGAAAAGTGTTCTCCTTATGAAGGAAAAGGTCCTGCTCTTGTTGATGGTGGGGTTGTAGATGCGAATTCCATGTTCTATTCTGAGGACAGCGAGCGTGAAGTAGATCCGTCAGGTGGCTCACAGATCCTGACATCCTTCAGAGATAAACATGAAGATATTGTTGATAAGACTTCTGGACCTCTAATTGACGATAAAAAAAGGCATTATACTTCAACTTCCAGAGATGATTCTGCTTGTGCAGAAACAATATCATCGAGTGATTTTTATCAAGATGCATCAACTTCCATGGTAAAGATTCGGAAAAAGAAGTTCTCTGATGCTGTAGGTAAAATCGGAATAGATAAGACTCTCAGTAAAATTGAGACTCGGGTGGCTTTAGGATCACAAAGGATCCAAATGGTGGAGAGTGCAGAATTGGATCGTAGAGAGAGACCTGAACAGACTCGAGGTAGGAGGAAAGTCCGCAAACTAGAAACGAGGAGTAGTGCTGATGCTGAAGGTTCGGAAAGGACTGAAAGCTCCACATCTTATACTGGACGCAGAGAGTTCAGAGCAGATGCACCGTTACAGGTCTCTAAGGTGCCAAAGAATAGACAGGAAAAGCGTTCTACGTCTTCGCAGAATGTGGAGAAAAATCAACGTACATTGTTTGCCAAGTCTAGTGAAGTTGGAACAGTTATCGCCTTTGATGGTATCAAGCTGGAGGCAGAACATGGGTTATCTGAGGTCAGTGCCAGTGAGGGTCTTAAAACACTTCAAAGAACCACAGGATACAAGGCGAGAGATCGAAATGATAAGGCAAAGGCTGCAGTCAACTCTGGCAAATTCAACAGTTTTGATAAAGTCAACGACTTACGGGAGGATGATGTTTTTGATCAAGATGGAACACCGGTTGTCACAGAACTTAGGCAGGAAGAGAAGTTTTCACGAGAGGTGGAGAAGTTCCCGGAGACTAAATACAATCTTAGGAGGAAAAATCAAGTGACGAGTAGTGGACGAAGACCTCGGGGTTTCGATTTTTCCGGTGGCAAAATAAAAAGTGAAGATGCCTTCAAGCAGATGACTACCGGTGGCAAGGATAAAGGAATAGCTTTCGATCATGCTAATGCACGTGTGCAACTCGAAGAAGGAAGAACATCCCTTTCCGACTTCTACCGCGGAAGTTCTGAAGTATCGATGGTAGATGCATCGTCAAATAGGTCTGAGGTGTCACTTGAAGATGAACAAATCCAATCTATTGACCCTCCTCCTTCTGGATATGACGAGGTTAGCGTCACACTAGAGTCTAAAGTGCCAAAATCTAGACAGATAAATGACCTTAGTTCGCGAAGCAAACCGTCTTGGCCTCCGCTGGAGATAGCTGGTGGTATTTCTGGAGAAATAACAAAGCCTTCCAACGTGATGAGGTCAAATTTGGACCTGGATTCCTCTTCACAGGGCGATCCTCATGGGAAGAAAAAAGTTCAGATGTTCAATTTGGCTTCAGGTGTTAATGTATTTGATGAAGGACGTGTCCATTCGGTTGTGAAATCTGTCGAGTCGGAGTCTGTATTGGCCTCATCAAGTAAGGATAAAAAGCCCATTGCACATGCAGCACCTCAGGTTTCCTCTTTTGGGAGGCACAGACGACAGATAAGATCGACTGCTGATATTTCACTTATAGCAGCAAAGTCCATTTCATCGAGTGAAGACGTTGATGCTGATGATGATTTAGCGTCACAGAGGTCCAAGCTGGTGATTTTGAAGAAAGAGAAGAAATCTCCTCATATCGAGAGGGCCCTAAAAACCAAAGTGACCAACTTGAATACTGGAGGAAAATTATTGAAACTTGATAGGTCAGAAAGAAATTACACTTCATCTAGTGTGACTCACTTCATCAGGGCAGGTGCCACCTCCCAAGTAGATGTCGGGGAGTCCAGACAGCATAAAGGTAAACGACCTGATTCTGTTGCACCTTCATCTTTCGGTTACCCAAGTGAAAATGAACTGTATATAGTGGTGGTAAGAATGAACTGTATATAGTTTCCCTTAGTGCATTCCTGCGTAGGCCTCCCGCACTACGAGCTACTCACTGTCTGCTGTGTATAATCCTCTTGGAATTTAAAAGTGAATTTGAAATATCATCACACATTGCGTGTGTTCGTGACATATACTTGTGGTTGTTTAGGTGTATTTACTCTGGTTATTCCAAAAGCACCCAAAATCGTACTAATGAACCACATTGCTAACCTGACATATTTGTCTTGTCTTTGTTTAAGCAGCCTAGGCCCGTAGTTCAAAAGTTCTACTCTATCGTATGATGTGAAAACATTCTCTTCAGTTAACATTTAGAAACTTAGTATTGATATGGATGATAATTTTTTTACATATGTCTTGGATTGTTCTCTCAAATTTTTCCCTCCTCTGCCTTTTTAGTCTGTAGCATAGACAAGCCCGGGCGAGGGGTCCATGGTCGTCAAGCTCCTGTGAGGCACACAGTAATATAAACAGTGTTACATATGAGCAGTCTGTTGAACCTCGTTTTGTTATCTACAAAAGAGTTTACAGTCTTACACAGACGTTGTGTTGACAGAAGAGATCACAACAACAGTGGAGGAATTATATGATAAAGAAACACCGGACATCAGTGCGGGACTGCCTCGAAGGGATTCAACTTCAAGAGAGAAAAATTCTGGAGAGATCGTTCAGGAAATTGATATGCTGGTCTCTGTAGGAACTCCTGAAGGGAAGATGCTGAAAAGTCAACTCCTCGCTGGGGGTCTAGAAGTTGCTTCTGTCCCAGAGTGGGCTACAGACGATAGATTTGATGCATCAAGACCCGAGCTCCGAGTGAGCAATCCTGAAGAAATCGAATCTCTCGGCAGAAATATTTCGAAAGTTGCAAAATTTGCCTTCGCTGAACTTTCAACATCAGGAGTTCAACGTGGTCTCACAGGCGTGGGATCTTCCCCTCTAGATTTGTCCGCTCCCAGCATGACAAGTTTTATTGTTGGTCAAACTAGGGAAGATGTACTAACGTCTAAGTTGAAGGAGCTTCCTTCTAAGAGGGGTCTGGAAAAAAACGTGGAGTCAGTTGCAGCTAAACTAAGAGATAGATCAAGAACAAGCGGAAACACGGAAAGCAAAATTCAACGGAGTGTGGAGACATCTAAAACGAATGATATGGATGTTGGACCTGCCGAACAGTTTGCTGAATATGGCACATCAGTTAGAACAGAATCAAAAGATGGAACACATTCGACTAGTCAAGGATCGAGCGCGAAATCTCAGAATCTGAAGCAAGTAGCTGGAAGCAGTCGTGGAGGAATTTATTCTCGCGACTCTGCGAAACACGAGAAAGATCTCAATGAGCATCACACTTCACAAAGACAGAGGGAAAGTCGAACACAGAGGAATGCTAAAGCTGCAACACACTCTGGACGAGATGCCCAATATAGAACTTCTACAATCAAAGGGGATTCTTCGGGAGGTTTTATTCCACCCAACACAATATCTAAGTTGCCAAGGAATTTGGACAGTAAATCCTACAGGGATCTATGTTTACCCTCCCATTCAGATTTAGGACCGAAAGTACCACTTGTTAGCCTGGAGAAGTCCAGGGATGTTATGCAAAGCTCTAGTTCTTCTCATAGATTGCGGCAAAACTTGGACGTTGCACGCGATGTGTTTCAGGGTTCTACGCCTGGTAGACTTTCAGCCACGGGCTTTGACCCCCATGAAGCAAAAGCATCAGGAAAAGGTGAGGTACTTAGTACAGGAACGGTGGTGAATGACTCAGAACTAGCCTCCGAAACCGCGGGCCGTATCTCATCGACTACAGATCTTGGGGCTTTTGATGCGGAGATTCCTGGAGATCCTTCATCCAGCTCAACTCCGAAGTCTTCTAGTGCAGAGACTTCATGGCTCTCTAGTATCCGGACGGTCGCGAAGACATTTCTAGATATGGACTTTGGGACTTCGAGTGTAGGTGCTTCAGTGGGAGTGGCACCTTCAGCCAACATGGTTGATATTGTAGAGAAACCACGAGCATCAGCTACATTAAATTACTCAATTGAAGAATCTTCTATGTCAAAAGGGAAAGTAGACACTGTCAAGGAAATGCAAGCGAGCCCAACTCCATTCGATGAACTCGAACCACGGCATCTGTTCCCTGAGGAACATAGAATCGTTTCAAATCACCCTACTTTAGATTCTGGTGTCAAGAAAGAGGAAGGTTTGTTAAAAAGGGATCAGGGTATTGTTGGAGCGGTTGAGTCAATGCCGGACATGGAAACCACTGCCGGAGAAATAACTTCCAGTCCAAAAGTTGCCTTTTCTATTGCCAAATTCCCGGATCCTCTAAGAGAGAAGAAAACATCAAATATCTTCAATAGCCTCATGATAGACCAAGCGTCTTCCAGTGTAAAGAGCGGTAAAGCGGGATTGGTGATGCCTTGGAGCTCAGAAGTGCAGACTGATGTAGCCGGGACTGAGTTTCGTTCTGTTGAGTTTCCTCCTCTAGGTTATAGTTCTCTACTAGAAGGAAGTAAGGCATCAACTGGAGGTACAGCAACAAGTTGGAACACAAAAATCAAACCTGGAGAAAAGGCATCTAAGAATCCACAGGAGGCTGTCTCGCTTGGATCTACAACCTCGAACCTCAAAGACAAGAGGTTCCATGAAGGTGTGCCACTATCAAGTTCAAGTCTGCATTATGCGGTTGCGGGAAGCTGTTCTGGAACGGGAACAGAACAAACTTCAGGTGCTAAAGCTGGTAAAAGGAAAGTGACGCCTTTGACTTTAGGATTAGAGACAGCCGGAGGAGTCATGACAGTTATTATACCCAGAAATACACCGGTGCCCACAACAAAGAGGCAAGTAGTCTCGACTTATGTTGATAACCAAACGGAACTGCGTGTTCAGATATTCGAGGGTGAGCGTCTCTGGGTTAGCGAGAATAATATGTTAGGTAGTTTTGAACTGGCAGAAATACCTCCCGCAGTACGTGGAGTGATACAGATTACTGTTTGTTTCGACATTGATGCAGAGGGTATTTTGAACGTATTAGTCGAAGGAAAAACAACCGGTCAATTGAACAGGCTTACCATTAACAATGTCAATGAGAGACCTGATGAGGAGAAGATTGCAAAGATGATTCAAGATGCCGATATGTATAAAGTTGAAGACACGAAGAATAGAAAGAAGATTGATTCCAAAAATAGTTTGGAAAATTTTGCATATGACATGAGAAATCTCCTCCTAGATAAAAACATTTCCAGCCGGCTAGATCCTCATGTAAAAGAGGAAATAAGTAATTCAGTTGAGAGAGTCATAAACTGGTTACTTCTCAACAACTGGTTGCTTTATAATCACAGGCAGCTCGCGGAGCTGGATGAGATTGACTTGAAGAGGCTTGAGCTTCAAAACATCTGCAACCCCATCCTTGAAAGTCTGTCCCAAGGTGATAAGAATGAGGCGGGCAGGCCCCCTCAATCTCAATTGATGAGATATGAGGCTTGTAGTCCCTCTCCCAAGCCTCGTTGGAGATTTTGATGGTCGTTTTGGTTCGGTCGATGATGACATTGTTGGCTTACAGCCTGAATGTTAGAGATTGATGGAAACAAGCAGCTTTGATTCATAAAGTCATCAGTCCTTAGTATAGTCGACAGTGTAAATGTGGAAGGGATTTTATCCAATTCTCGACCATATCTTTTCTGTTCTTCCTGCATTCTCGAGGCTTTTGAGATCCTGATGTTTGCTGCACAGGCAACAAACGGTCTAATTTGCTTTTATTCTTTGATGATATTTGATATTCTTATGTTAGTAGAATATTTTAGTTAGCTAGCTGCTTGTACCTGAATGTTCCGAGTGTTCATGTGAGATCGTAACTCTGAAAGCTATTCTGTGCATAAATGTAGCATTTTCTACTGCCTTCTGAGTCCAGACCTTTCACTGGCCCAGGTAATCTAGAAACAAGTGTGTATCAGAGTGTACTTCTACTCAACGTAGTGACTAGTATCACCTTAAGAGCGGTCTCAAAATCAGGTTAACAAGGCTTCATCATGGCCTTGTGTATCACCTTTGTCGGTCTTGGGGCATCTGTGAGGACTTTATTGTAAGTCAGTCTTGAGGCTGGTGGATAGGGTGCTAGATTTGAGAATTTCACTGAAAGGCACAATCGGGCTTGGGAGGGAAGGAACGAGCTCTTCAAGTCTCGCTCTTGGTGCAGCCAAACGAGTGACTCCATCAAATCTGCACTTTGCTGCGGCTGAAGGGGTGTTACCCGTCCCTGTGGAGATTTCCCAACGACGTACGGCACCGGGTATTTACAAGGGGAATGGTATGATGATACTGACACACCCCAGTTTTCCCTTTGAGGTAGGAAGAATTGCTTGCGTTGTCGGTCATGATGTTGTGAAGGATCAGCTGAACGTTGAAAGTTGGACCTTCAATCAGCTAAAGACTGACTGCATCAATATGCGTGGGAAGGGGTGTAGTAGAGGCAACTTCTTTTTTAGATCTAAGGACTTCTTCCGCAAGATTGACACCAAGAACACTCCTACAGATGCAGGAGCAAGTTTATCAGATGTGGATGTTGATGATGATTTGTACACGCAAATGCAGCATCCCAGAACTCTGGAGTACTGGAAGCTATACAGGGAAAGAAAACTCAGTCTGTTGGAATCAGCCTTGGTCAGGGGGTGAACGGCCTACGCAAAAAGACGCCGACCAGGGATAGCGTTGATGACCATAACCGTTTGGGAGAAACCGCATTATCAAGGAAAGCTCCCAAGGCTTATGCGGGAACAACATCTTGGAGGTCCAGGTTTGTGCAGTCAGGACAGAAGAGTAAAGCTCCAATTCCAGAGAAGGGTCCTACTTTCAAGAGTAAAGCTCGACGAAAAGATACGCGGAATTTCGGTAATGTTTTTAGAAGTGCAGAAAATTCCAGTTCATCCTTTGAGGTTTTTGAGACTCGTGCAGATACAGTTCTACACCGCTCCAAGTCACCGCAGACGGCTGAACTCGACACGCTTTCACTCGGCATTCTACCTCCAGAGAGTAAAGTCCTACTCCAAGAGGTACGGACAGGTGTAGTCAAATTCATCGTAAATTCATTGCATTATACTCAAAGCCAAGTACTGTGATTTCTGCAATTGCAGTCACTGAAGCTCGATCCATACAGGAAACTCGAATCCAAGTATCTGAAGAAGCTCATGGCAATATTCGGACTGTACGACACAGAGGTAACAAGAGCTCTGAGGATCATGGTTGTTACAGTCTTGGGAACTCAACTTTTCTGGAGAATCCTGTCGCATCTGCATCCAAGACCTTCAAAGAACCGGAGTCGAAAATGGAAAGAAATGTTGTGGTTGTGGAACTAGAGCCTGTTCTTGGTTCAAGTAGTAGGGTTGAGCGCAGAAGGAAGAAGAAACTTGCAGGTGACTCGTCGCGAACGGCTAAGAAACCAAGATCATTACTCGAAAGTCATGAAACTCTCGGGGATGATACACCACGGAGCTTTCATGTACCGCAGTCTGCCCAAGTAAAGTGTTCTCCTCTTCGCAGACTTACTTCTGAGCGAAGGGGTAGAATATTGCGCAAAGACATTAACGAAGCACATAAAACGTCCGAAAAGGCAAGCCCGAGCAGAGAGACACATGTAAGTGCCCCAGATACTACTATCGAAAGATCTCAAGAGGTTCAATCTGTCCACGGAACGATAACCCAAATTCCTGAGGAAACTCGTGTTCCTGTTGGAGGAGCACGGGTTGAGGACAATGCGGGTCCTGTCGATTATTTTTCTGAAAATCCTGGAAAGTTAGCATCTTTAGAACATTTTCCAGAAGTCACAGTCCAGGATTCAAAACTGGTGGAGTCCGGAATGAAGAGCAATGTCGAATTCGCTGTGAAAGAGCCTGTTGCCAGATCACAAAGAAGGATCGAACACCTGAGTGTGAAGAAAACTTTTGGTAATGGTGATCTCAAAGGGGCTGAGAGTTCATCATTATTTGTTGATAGTGATAAGCGGTTCATGTTTGAAACGATACGGAGCTCTCAATTTATCAAGTCTTTTAAGGACAAAGCATTTTCAGGTCTCTATAAATCATCCCAGCAAAGAAAAGGGTCTCCATTCTTGAGAATGAAGCCAGGATCTGTGGATCCTCGTGAATCTAAAGGGGCTGGGAGTTCACCTACAGTTCTTGCGAGCCACGAGATTTCTCAAAGCAAAGGGGTACATGAGAGTCTCGAGAGGAGCCAAGGGTCGATGTTATCCAGTATTGGTGCTCAAATCCGTCTCCGAGGTGTTGAGGAATCGGATTCGGGCCATGAAGCTGCTCGTGCGTCGGGCTCTGAGAATAGAATCGAGGAGGTTTTGAAGATTAAGACTTCTACGGGAGAAGTGCCAGTCTCATGTTTAGATCCAGATCTAGAAATTAAAGCACCTCACTGTAGTAGAGAGGGTGGTGATACTCATCTTCAACTTGAGGAGCCAGTGGGTTCGAGCTCTGAAATTGCTGCAGAAGTTTCTTCGGGCACCAAGGATACAACAGACGAAGGTCCTGGGTACAGTACTCCTTCCGGGGGAGTAGCGCTGTCACGTTCAGAGCTTGACACAGAAGCTCAAGAAACTTTTGATGATGTGCGACCCGGAATGCTGTCCGGACTAGTCGAGGGTGTTCAGACCCGTCGATTACGAAAAGTTACACCGTTGACTCTAGGTTTGGAAACTGCTGGAGGTGTTATGACAGTAATCATTCCCAGAAATACTTCGGTACCGGTTCGGAAAAGGCAAGTCGTTTCCACTCACATTGATGACCAGACAGAAGTTCTCGTTGACATCTATGAAGGTGAACGTCTTTGGGTCAAGGACAACAATTTGCTAGGAAGATTCGAGTTGAAAGGTATAGCCCCTGCGCCTCGAGGCGTGCCACAAATAACGGTCTTGTTTGACATTGACGCGGAGGGAGTCATGAACGTTTTTGTTGAGGGTGATACGACCATCGGAGGAAGAAAAATGAAGGGGCTTGCCGTTACTAATGTTAGTGTGAGGCCAGACAGACAGAAGATTCGTGAGATGATTGGGGACTCAGAGAAGCACAAGGCGGAGGATGAACACAACAGGAAAAGCATCGCACTTAAAGATAGCCTGGAAAACTATGTCTACACCTTGCGAAGCATTTTAAAAGACGAAAGCATTGCCAGGCTCTTGGACCCAAGGAGCAAGATAGATATGATTGCAGGCGTGCAGAGTGCATTAGAATGGTTAATGGTTTGTAATTGGTTGCTGTACAATCATAGGCAGATACCCGATTTTCGTGAGGTGGATGCGAAGAGAAGAGAGCTGCAGAGCATATGTAAGCCTGTCGAGAGGATTCTTCGAGGCCAAGGAAATTTTAGACGAAGTTAAAGCCCGCTCTCTCTGAGTTGTAACCGAAACTACTGACTTTGATTCTTCTGCCTCTCATTTGTATCATAAATTACGAAAAATGCCACCATGATAAAATTACGCAGCCAAAACAGTTCCAGTAGAAATTTATGCCTCACTTCCTTATGCCCTCCAGGTCTTGTACCCTCTGATGTCCTGTTCACTATTTCTGGCGGCTCTTTACATTGGATCTAAGTACGTTCGTCATCACCTGCCTCTTCCAGTTCGGACTCACTTGAGATTTCGTTGTCTCTGTACTTTCTCTCTCTCTCCGTCCGTCCGTTTTGCTGCTCATTTTGCATATACCATGCAAGAAACTAGAAAATAGAAAGATTGATGTTTATCTTCTCCATAACATCAGATGGGCTCTGCTTTCCAGCCAACACGTGCATCAAGTGATGCAAACTGCAGCCCTACCTCCGGCTATGTCGTGGGCTGAATTCAGCACATGCACTTCGTGCTGCTTCCGGGTTCTACTGGCAGTGCAAAGTGAAGCCGGCTATACAGCTGTCGGTCCAGTGCCCAAGCTACATCTACCACCTTAACCTCTCTTAAATTACTTCCTTTCTCTCAATCGGTGCATGTTAAGCTCAGATGCGTATTGTTCCAATCTTTGCTCTTCGTCGTGTGGTACTTATTTATGCTGCAACCCAGATCATCCATCGATCCTGTATTTGCTTTCACGTCTGGGCTTTAAACCTCACCTATACTTCCATTCATACATCCACACTCCCAAGAGTGAGAAGCGCATGAGATATGATCGTTGGGTCGGTGATCTAGATTAACTGTTTTCTGAATAGGTTTTTGTGGACAGTCAAATCTACCTAATCCATTGAGAGTAAGAGGTTTCAAAATTTGCAACCCTAGCCAAGGATGGGTGGAAGTTGTTGTTTTCTAACCTGTATTGTTATCAGGAGATACAGAATGTATATTGATAAAAACAACCCACTGACTACTTTTGATTTTCTGTGAAATTCAAAGTAACGATGTGAGAGATCAATCATCTCCATATGATGTCCGTCCTATCACAGTAGGTCATATCCATACTGGGGTTTAAGGTTTGAGGGTTAATGGCTCCTATGCGATCATTTGATGATTCTTTTCATCCAACAATCATAGTGAAAAGAAAAACATGATGAATGTACACAAAATGAATTACTTATGAGCAACAATTCTTTGCTACATTGAAATATGAAGAATATCAAACAATTCTTTGATATTCTTGAAGAGGTTTATAAGTTTATAACCATTTTGACTCTAAAACAATTAGAAGAATGCAGTTCCCAAGAATGAAGAAGGTGGACTTATCTTAAACTTCGTGCTTCAAATTATCAAATGTTTGGTGATCATGTCTCTCGTTTTGGAAAAATTAATAAGGTGGTTTTTGTAAAAAACACATGAGAATGTGATATATCCATCAGTTTTACTTCTTTTTTGTGTTGAGATGTGAAACATATGTGTTGATTAGGAGAAATTATGTGTGTTGAAATGATTTAAGTCTCTGTTTAGTCGAGTAAAATTGTTTCAACTCTTTCATACTAAACATTTGAAATTTCTTCTAAGTTGATGCTCATCAAAATGAAGCATCAATAATAACATGTAAAATTATGTCACATGATTCAATTTTCTAAGAAGCAAGTAAAAAAAAAAGGTTAAATATCAATCTTCATTAATTTTGAACTACAACTAAACATTTATTCACATTTCTACTACAAAGTGAAATTCGTTCCCGTCCTTGTTTGCTACAATGTGCAAGTTCTTATTACCCTGTAGATTTATTGTTGGTATCTAAACTAAAGAAATTTCTAAAGAAAAACTACATTTTCACTTGACTCTAAATCACAATCATTTAAGCTAGAAAACCATAACATGGAAAACGTTGACGAATTAAATTCTACTCCCCACACACTTCCATTAAGTTGAAATAAAAAAGTGACGAAAGGTATAGCCATACATTGTGTACTCTGATTAAAGGTTTTGTTTTGCCCAATTCATTAAACAATCAATTGAGAACGATCCAAATTTTTCTTTACCTAAAGGCCAAAATTTTTTTTACATACTTGTTAATGCGAGAATTTTGTTGGTTGCATCATCTTAATAAATTTTTTGAATTTAATTGGGCACAATAAATTTGGCGAAATCTTGTATTTGTTCTATATCAATAAACAACAATATGATGATGCATATTTTAAAAAAAGAAAAAGAAAGTTGTTTTGCATGAATAAAGTAAAGTGGATTATCTTCCATTGGTATTATATATATAGTTATATAGTTGTTATTTGTTTTTTGATCATGACATTCACGAGCCACATGATTACTTCTAATAACTTTTAAACATTCAATTGCAATTTCTAAAAAAGCAAATATTTCTAAAAAATCATCCCTCAACTCGGCTCTCGTAAGATGAGATGCTGGTTCGACCTCTGATTTGGAAAATGAAGATGTGATTTCCTCCAACAATAACAAGATTGAAACCTCAGTGAATGACGGTGATTCAAAATAAACTCCAAAGTCAACACATTTGTAGCTCTCACCATCTTCGACAAAAAATATTTATAACAAAACCAAGAGGTGCAGTTAATGAACACATCAATCGTGCAAACGAAGATGTCAAGGTGTTGCTATCCTGTAAATACTGCACGAAGTTGTGGTGTTTTTTAGAGTATGATTTCAAGAAGACTGGATCAAGCACAACAAATCAGATTAAGCATGTGAAAAGCCATCATAAAAATTAATATTCTGAAAAGTGATTAAACCAGTGGATGGCTACTGGCAGAAGTACTCAGCTCTTGAAAAGAAGATAGCAGCAAGCTCAAATATTTTTGACGATCTGATTTATGTGACAATTGAGAATTTTGTGCTGTCTCAGGCTAAAGCGTTCATCATCAATGAGTCAACAATATTCTTAACGCGAGTGAAAATAATACTTTAATGCAAGCAAGACAATGTGATCATCTCAAAAGCAGATGACCTTCAGAATAGTATATTGAAAAGAGTCAAAGACAATCGAAGCTAAATCTAAGAAGTATTTGTCCAAAAACAATTCCACCTTACATATTTCATTACCATATTTCCGAACCATATTGATTTTTGGGCGATAATTGTACATTTTATCGGTATAGACATAGCTCTTCATGGAAAGCTTTTGGCTTCTACGGACAAGATTAATCACACCAGGGCTGGAATGGTAGAAATTGTGCAACAAACGCTAGATTAATTTGTAATTGTTGAGCGTGTTGGATGTTTGATCATGGACAATGCTTCAAGCAACAACACTTTAGTGTTAGCTCTAACCGACTTTATTGGAGATTATTGCATTCGTGAAGAAATATCAAAGACTTAAAACGCAGATGATTCAAGTTTTTGTGCTTGAGTATTTCTTGTTTGATGGCTAAAGTACATATATGATGCTTACACACGAGAAATTTTATGGCAAGAATAACATGTAAGTTGAAAAACTCTTAACACGCAAAAAAGTTCCAAAATTTTGTTGTTGGCGTGAATAGTTATATACTTACAAACACGGTATATACGAGCAAATCACACATTACAAGAAGATTTTTTGGCGTTGATAAATCAGGACAAAGACAAAAATGATGAACTTGCTATTTTATACTTATTTTCACTGGCAATATCTTTCAGGGATCGCCTCACAGAAAAACAAAAACACACATGTTGGATAAGTTTATGCTTTGTATCTATACCACAATCTAATAGATTTGCTTGCATGTGAGCAAAACTTATTCAAAAAGTTATTCAACTACTTCGGCGACCTCAAATCTTGTTCTTCATTTGAAGATAAATCATCGCATCACTCGCGAATCACTTGAAGGCGCATTGCCAGATGATCATTTTTAAACCACCTTTTTAAAAATCAATTCATATTTGGAAGTGCACAAAGTTTTGGATGACGAGAAGAAGTCAAACATCATGATCATTGTGGTAGATTGGATGATTGACACGAAGCAAACTTTTTTTCAGTGGAGTTAGGTTACTTCACACAAATGATGAACGCTCTAAATCAATATCGGCCTGACTGTTTGAGCATAAGTTTTACTTGTGCCATATCAAAGGAATTAGACTACTGCAATCAAACTATTTTATGATATTGTAGAAGCAATTCCAGAATGAGTTGCAATTACTTGTAATGTGTGGTACATTAGAACTCTACGAAATTATTTTTGTAATTACGCTTTATTGGATAGATGATACCTAGACGTTGCGTGACTGTGTTCTTGATTTTAAATATTTTACATCATCTTACAATCAGTGATTCACAATGACGCTTCTTCTAGAATCTTTAGTTATAGCAAATGTGCACACCAAAATTATATCTGTAACAACAGACAATGTTAGTGAAATGATTCTTGCTTTATAACATCTAAGAGACGAATTGAAAAATAAATTTCATGTTAATCTAGACTTTGGATGACAATTTCGCTGTGTGAGCCATATCATGCATTGTGCTGTGATTGACAGTGAAATCATTTCAAATCCAAGGTGGAAAAACTTTGCGCAATGTTGAAGATGATCCGCTTATCGTCTCGAATGCGAGTTGATTTCAAAAAAATCCAAGTTTTACTAGAAGTGCGAGAACACAAGACGAAGTCAATTCTTGGACTTGATCTAAAGAATAGGTGGAATATCATGTTTACAATGATTGATTCGTCATATAGTACCACGGAGAACTTTCAATCTTTATCAAAAATATTTGAGCACTACAGTACGATTGTAACTTTGATTTCAATTGAATGGAGGGTATTGAAGTGCTTCAAAGATTTTCTTGCTCATGTTTATGAAATAATCTTTATATCCAACCTACGATATGCAACTTTATCAAATCAATCCTTCGTTTATGAATCGTTGAAGACACCTTGCGAATGAACCATGGATGGTAGGATGAATCATAGATTCACTGTATTGGAGTCTAAGGATGCTGCAAGAGCATTGATGATAGAGTTAGAGAAATATCATGAGCATTTAACTGATCCGCTATCAATGTTAGCACTAGCACTTGATCCTGCGGTTCCAAGGACGGATGAAAAAGTAATATCTCTAATGACACGGCTTCGAGAAATTCTTCGACAACAGTATGA